CTGCTTTCATCAGGTCACTATGAAGCCATCCATTGTAAATGCGTCATTATTTTATAAACCTTTAAGACATTTTTTTCATATCTCCCCCTAAATAAAACGCTTTAATTTATTTTTAATTTAATTTAATGAGAAAAGTTTACCAATGAACAGAGCTGCTTTGGAGAGCCAGAAACCATTGAAATAGTTATTTTTTGTCCTCACTCGAATCCATTTTTGTCCTTTTTGGGGGTAATATTACCCCCATTAATGATTTATGTTATAAGGGGAAAGGATGTATGGGTGTTTCCCATTTGGGGCTAATAAGACATCTATTACAGGTTTTTGTGAGAAATAGTTTTCACTTCTCTGGGACTGCCCAAGAGTGTGAGTGCTGGACCATAGGATAGCTGCATGTTTCGTTATTTTGTTTTATTGTGGTAAGAACACAACATGAGATCTATCCTCTTAAATTTTTAAGTGTACCGTACATTAATGTTGACTATAGGTACAATATTGTACAGCAGATCTTAGAGCTTAATCATCTTGTTTAACTGAAACTTTATGCCCAGTGATTAGTAGGTCCCATCTTTTTATTGCATTAATGACCTCATTAGATCTTTAGAACAACTCTCTGAGCTATGTACAAAAAATAATTTCCATCTTTTAAAACCAGGCTCAGAGAGGTCAGGTGACTTTCCTGAGACCACACAGCTAGTTGATGGAGAACAGGCATTTGAGCTGGGGTATGCTTGGAGCCTCTATACCTCCCTGCCTGTCTTTGGAAGGTACCCCCTCCCCTCAGGATCACCTAGTGGTGGCAGATGTTGTCTGAGGCTCTTTGACCTCCCACAGCCCTTCTCCTTGCCCTGGTGGCCATGGACATACTCAGACTGTTGGCCAGAGAGCTCGGCTGTAACTTGAGTCTCACCCAGGATGGGGGTGACAGGGCGGGTGGGCGGGTGACAGCCAGGGCAGGGAGATTTGCCCAGACACTGGTGCATGGCAGCCTGGCAACCGCATGGCCTTGAGGAGACTTGGGGGCTTCAGGAACCTGTTCCTGGCAGTGGCCTTTACCATGGGCAACAAGCAGACAGTCTTCACTCATGAGCAGCTGGAAGCATATCAGGTACGAGTGATGGGTGGGGCCCTCGGTGGGTCTGGCAGCTTTGTTTTTCTGGTATGAGGACTGGGGACAGCTTCCCTTGGTCCTGGGTGTGCTGTCAGCAAGGGTTCCTGGTGCAGCTCTGTGTGCAGCACTGGCAGAGATGAGTGTGGGGTGGAGGGGAGAGGAAGGAGGCCCTTGGGCAGGGTCTGCGTCAAGCCGACATTTCTCTCTGCAGGACTGTACCTTCTTCACGAGGAAAGAAATCATGAGGTCAGTCTGGGGAGAACGGGGAGGAAGACCTGGACAGAACTTTCTATACGGTGCTAGAGGATATTTGTAATTTGACAAGTCCTAGCGCTTCATGGAAGTTAGAGAGCTAACGGTCAGTGGATAGAGACAGAGATGGGAAGTCTGAGAAGTCACATCTCATCATGTTGTCATGCTCTAGGCTGATGAGCTTGGGCTTTCTCCTAAGGATGGCAGGGAGTCATGGAGAGCATGTGAGCAGGACAGAAACAGATCAGCATGTTAGAAGGACCACCCCCGCCCCCGCCCCCAAGGCCAATGTGAAGAGTCCGGGACTGGAGGCTGGGAGCCCAGGGGCAGAGTACAGAGCCAGCTCTGGACTGTGGGGTTGGCATTAAGGTAAGGAAAAAGGGAGGTACCCTGAGGCTGCTTCAAGTTCCTGGTGTGAGCGAGACAGGCATGGATGGGTATCCCACATCATTACTCAGCCTATGGAGCCATTGTCCAGAGTCTCTGACCCAGGAACTTGGAGCCATGAAACCCAAGCAGCCCAGGGTTCGGCTGCAGAGTGATCGGGGCCAAGGGCCCAATTGTGTGGGCACAGGACATCCATTATTGATGGGCACACCTTTCACCAGTGAGCCCCATTGTCTGGGTGAAAATAGCTTGCAGGGTCACCCTGGACATGATGATCGAATTACTGATGGAGAAACTGAGGCTTGGACAGGGAAGGCTGACCCTGGCTCTGCAGATGGGCTGAATCCCAAGGAGTTTGAGGGCGGACATTTCGTCTGTCCCAAGCTTCTCACTTGTCAGACAGGCTGACTAAGGCTCAGAGGAGAAGAGAGACTTGCCCAAGGCCATACAGAAACTCAGGCTATTCCCTAAAGAGACCCATATAGGGAACTGGGTGGTCAAGACTGAATTTCAGATACCCGCTCCTTGAATTACTAGTCACCATAGGACCCAAGGGTTCCTGTCTCCTTCCGAGACAGTCCCTAGCAGCTTAGGAATCTCTGACTCATCAAGGATGGTCTCTACAAGACTGCTGCTCAGCATGCTCCAATGAAGGTATAGTGTCACCAGGTGAGAGCATCAGCGTTGAGAGCTGGTTTCCCTATCAAGGTAGTAATAGTATGGCTTTTGGTGTTTTCCAAATGTCTTTCAGTCACCTTATAGAAAAACTTGAATATTAGCTTTTGTCTTTGTTGTGCCCCATTGAGGGAACCCTGCTTCCCATAATAGAGGGAGAGAAGGAAAATGTGAGGATGGGATCTTTAGAGGCATGGTCTTGCCGATAATGTGATGTCCAGAGATTCATAAGTTGTCTCGGGTCATTGTGAAATGACCTTGCCTTAAGCACTCTCCCTTTTGCCAAGATCATTTACCTAATGAGCTCCTACTCATGCTTCAGAGCCCAGGACCAATGCACCCTCTTTCAAGATGTCCTTCTCCTTCCCTAGCTTGCTTCCCCCACTCTGCTCTCCCCAGGCTCTGGGCTGTCTCTTTATGTTAACCTTGCCCCCAAAGAGATAGGGGTGCCTGTGTGTGGCTCTGTGTACCTGAAGGTTGGGCCCAGGGCCGATAGCTCCCAGGGACCTAACATCTTTCAGTATGGAGTGAGCAGCTGCGAGAGTGGGAGAGGAGAGACGAGTCCCCTCTCTTCCATCTTCAAGCCCTTCCCAGCATTTTCCTCCCTACACCAGGCTCTTCTATCGCTACCAGGACCTGGCCCCCCAGCTCGTCCCCCTTGACTATACCAGCTCCCCTGATGTGAAGGTGCCCTACGAGCTCATCAGCAGGATGCCTGAGCTGAAGGTGTGCCTGGGCCATGGGGGAGGTGGGAAAGTAATAGCGATGTTCCTTGCTGTATTTCTATGAAGTGAGTGCTGCATTTTACAGATGAGAAAACAGAAGTTCAGAGAGGTTAAGACACTCGTTCATAACCACACAGCCAGGATGTGACAGAGACAGGATTCAAACCCTGGGTTGTTGGGAGGACGAGATGAGATAATGCAGGTAAAGGACTTAGCACAGGGCCTGTTGCACGGCAAGTACTCAGGGAACGTGAGTTCTTTTCATAGTAGGAGTTGCTAAATGCACATTCTTCTTGGCTGGATGTTTGATAGGTAGTTTGTGTCTCCAAAGAGTACTTGTAGAGTGAGTGACTGTGCACAGAGATTATTGTATCACAAGGGACATAAACGTCATTCAAGAGGGACAGAATAGATCACATGAGCTAAAAATCCAGGGGCAGGGACAGCATCAGGTATGGCTGAAACCAGGGTCTCTGAGGATGTGCTCAGGAATCTCCATCTCTTAGCTCCTCCCAGGAAGAGGCTTTAGTCTCAGGCAGCCTGTTCTCTTGAGGTAGTAAAGGGAACCCTCGGTGGCCCCAGATTTTTTCTTGTCAGCTCTGCAACCAGCAGAATGTAGGTCTCTCCATTTCAATTTTTCAAAAAACATCCCAGAGCAGCCTTCAATTGGCCAGTTTGAGTCACGTGCCTATCCCAGAGCCAATCACGGTTGCCAGGTGAAAGCAACTCTCTGATTGGCCTCACCCAGGTCATGTGGCTGCCTCTGTAGCTAGAAGCAGGTCAACACCAAGCAGACCATGGGGACAGAGAGTAGAGTTGCCTGAAGTCCTGTTCAAGGATCATGGGAGGGAGGAGTCTGGGAGGGGGGTACTTAGAGGTTCCCAGGAATGTGGGTGCTGAGAGTGAGACCACGTGGAGCCCCCAAGACCCTGGTCAGAGATGACCTCCCTGCTTCCTGTTCCCAGGACAACCCATTTCGCCAGAGGATCGCCCAGGTCTTCTCTGAAGATGGGGACGGCCACATGACCTTGGACAACTTCCTGGACATGTTTTCTGTGATGAGTGAAATGGCTCCTCGTGACCTCAAAGCCTACTATGCTTTTAAAATCTATGGTGCTTATAAGGCCCAGGGTGGGGGAGTGTGGGGCAGGGAGTGGGAACAAGACCAGGCCCAAGACTAGGAACTGCCCTGCTGTCACAACGTCTCCCCAAGGGCTTTGAGGCCCAGCTTTGCCCTGTCCTCCACTCTACCCCTTACCTCCTGACCTCATCTCTTTGCTCACTCTATTCACTCTATTTGCTCACATTGGCCTCGCTCTTCCTCCAACACACCAAACTCTTTCTGCCTCTGGGCCTTTGCCTCCACTGTATCCTCTGCCCAGAACACATTTCCCCTGGCTTCTTGAAGTCTAGGTCAAAAGTAGCTCCTGCTTCCAGTCATTCTCCACCCGCCCCATCCTATATCTCTTCTAACACAGAGAAGTGCTGCTTAATTTCTTGTTCATTGATCTGTTCACTTCTTATTGACTTTCTCTCTGAGATGACCCAGAGTAGCGACAGTATCTGTTTGGTTCATCATCTTTCTCCTGTGCCTGGCACATAGTAGATGCTCAATAAATACTCGTTAAATGAGTGAATGAAAATGTTTCACAGTGCCTGGCACACAACTTGTTGAGTGAGTGAATGAATGACAAATTTATCATGGTACCTGACACATAGTAGGTGCTCGATAAATACTCATTGAATGAATGAATGAATGAATGAATGAATTCGTCCCTGCCTAATTCACAAGCAAGACCCAGTTTTTCCCCCCAGGGTCTTGGGTGCCCCAAGTGTCTCATTTTCCTCCTCTGTGATATGGGGACAAGATGTGCCCACGCTCCCCCAGCCTACCTGTCACCTATTGTCTGTCCACCCAACATCCCCATCCATCCTACTACGCAGACTTTAACAATGATGACTACATCTGTATGTGGGACCTGGAGCAGACGGTGACCAAGCTGACGCGAGGGGAGCTAAGCGCCGAGGAGGTGAGCCTGGTATGCGAGAAGGTGCTGGATGAGGCTGATGGGGACCATGACGGGCGGCTGTCCCTGGAAGACTTCCAGAACATGATCCTGCGGGCACCCGACTTCCTCAGGTGACACTCTTTACTGCTCCATACAACACATCTCCATGTGTGAGAAGGGACCTTACAAAACTAGTTCACAGACTTCCTTTGTGAAGTTTCCTTTGTTTATTCATTTGTGAACTTGGGGAACTTTCCTGATCCCCCTAGCCCCAGTCCCTGCATCTTTAAAATGAGGATAATTAGGGGTCCCATGGGCACTTCCTGTGGTTAGTCACAGCTCTTCGGGCGAATGGAACATGGCTGGACTTCAGCGCTCACTTGCCTGAACATTTTGCAGTAAATAGACTGTACGGCCATACTTGGCAGCCTGGGGAGAATCAGAGCCCCCACTGTGCGGCGGATAGCGAGGTTACATGAGTTTGTACTGGAGGCGGTCCACCACCTGTGTTTGTACCTCCCATGAACAATAGGTTTTAAATTACATTTTTAAATGGTTGGGGAGGGGAGGATCCAAGAATAATAATACTCCATGACACATACGAGTAATATGAAATCGAAATTTCCAGGTGCATCCACAGTTTTACTGGCATACAGCCTCGCTCGTTTGTGCCTGTATTGTCTATGGCTGCTTTCAAGCTATTAGGCAGAGCTGAGTCGTTGTGCAAAGCTGGGAATATCAACTATTTTTCTATTCTAGAAAAAAGTTGGCTGACCCCCAAGTTAGTATATGGAACAAATTTAGAGCAGTGCCTGGCACACAGTAGGTGCTCAATAACTGTGTGCCGTGCTTGCTGGTGTGGCCGTTATTATTGGTGGTGTCCTTGCACGTACAGAAGGCCTTTTTTCTCTACCCTGGATAAGCAAGACTGGTCTCCTGGCAGATAGGGACATGAATAATGATAACGGGATGACGCAGGACCCTCTGTGTGTTCCACTCTCAGCCCTCAATCCTCCCTAAGGAAGGAGGGACAGCTATTATCCCCATTTCATAAGAGAGCAAACTGAGTCCCAGAGAGGGGCAGCCACTCACTCAGAGTCCCACAGCAAGTTTGGAATGTAAACTCCAGCCCAAAGAAATGTGCTCCCAACCCCTGGAGGTGGGGGTCAGGACGGCCACAGCCCGGGGCTTCTTGTGGGGGGATCCATCTCCCCAGGTGGCTCCTGGCCTGCCTTGGGGACTCCCAGAAAAAGTGTCAGGGTAGAGGATGCAGGAGGGTCACGTCTGGCTGATGACATTGACTCCTTTCCTCTCTGCACACAGCACCTTCCACATCCGCATCTGAGGATAATGTGGACGAGGAGCTGGGCCAGAGGAGGGCAGGGTGACCCCTCACCCCACCAAGGAATCCGGGCTCTGGGAATAAACACTGAGTCACACCTGCTGGAATGACATGTTTTCTACCTTAAACCTGGCAGATGGGAGGGAGGAAGCCTGGGATCTCATCTCCGCCCTCCCCGTGTGACCTCGGATGTGACTACTGAGCCACCAGCTCCCTTTGTGTACAAGGAAGAGGCTGACTTCTAGATCGCCCTCCACTGTTAGGGCTGGAAGTGTCTCACTGCGTGTCTCAGTGGGCAGACAAGGTGTGGAGACAAGGCCCATGCTATCCTACCCCAAGGCCCCCCAAGGCCGAACCCTACCCGCTGCTGCTCAAGTCCCCTTTTTCCTCAATCCTGGAATTCCTCAAAGGGACTGAAGTTTTAACTCTTTGCTGATTCATTGGCGCTGCCAGGGGAGGCGGGGACTCTCAGTGGGTAGCAGGAAGGTCATTCATTGAGACAGTGATAGGGCCTTATAGTTTATTAACTATAAGGCCCTATCACTGTAATGTTTATTAACCATTGAGACAGTGATAGGGCCTTATAGTTTATTAAGCATCTGCCCTCTGTCATTACACTGGCTGTCTGTGACATCCTAGCAGGGCTGGACAAGGACCAGTCATACTTCATGCAGAGAGAACAGAGTGACTTGTCCAAGGCCAATACCTCAAGTCATCTGCAGAGGCAGACTTGACCCCAGGCCCAGCTCACTCCAGATCTCAGACCTCTACACCTTGTAGGTTTGGGGAGCCCATACCCACTCCATGAGTGGTCACGCTGGGGACCCCATCTATGACCCCGGTCAGTCCAAAGAGTGGTCATTCTTGCAACTGAGAGCACCCCAGGGACCTCCCCAGACACCCCTACTGTGTATCATTTCTAGAGAGTCCACTCCCACCTTAACCCCTATTTATTAAGCATCTACTGTGCCCCAAAACCCCAGGTTTTATGCATATCCTGCTGTGTCATCCTGAGAAAGAGGGACTGCTCTTCTCCACATTTTCCAGACAAGCAAACAGGTTCAGAGAGGTCTAGTGACTCACCAAAGATCACACAGTCCTGTGATCCAGGATTTCCCCTAGGACTCACCCCAACCATGCCCTGAGCCACCACTCCCTTTTAAAAGCAAACAACACATATGCTTCTCCTAAAGCTGACGGTGGTGTCAGGGAGTGCTCACTGCATGCTAGGCCCTCCGCCAGTCTCATCTCCTGCATTTGCATGAGAACTCAGGAGGAAGGAGTGGCCAGGGCACACTGGGAGTTGAGCCCTAGTACTGGGGATATGAGGAAAAAGGTTCCAAAACACTGCCATTTCCAATCCTGGCACTGACACCCCTCCCATAGCCATGTGACCTTGGCCACACCTCTTGTCTTCTCTGAACCTCAGTCTCCTCTTTAAAACGTGCAAAAGGAGCCTACCCGATGGGCCTGCTCAGCAGTATAAAAGAGATAATGAACCCAAAGGGTCCAGCACACCGTAGGTGCCCCAGACCCTTGCTGAAACTGATCATTATTATTCAAATAACTCCACCGGCAATTGCAAGACCAAACCCAAGCAACGTGTTTATTACATTTCTCAGGCTCCCGAGGGCTGGTGGGCAGTGAGCAAGGAGTCCAGGTGCGAGCAGCTCCTGGCCACAAGGGTCTCAGAGCCAGGGCAAACTTCTATCAGTACCCAGGGGCAAAGGGTGGTGGTGTATTGTACTCCTCTGGGAGCCAGTCTTCTTGGGGTTCTAAGCCCCTTGGCTCTGGTTTAGATGCCTGTGAGGACAGAGCTCTTACTAACCCTTGGTGCTGGCCCCTGGCCTTCGGGGTCACCACACTCCAGCTGGCTGATCGCAAGGCTTTCCTGGAGGAGTTGTCTCCGTCTCTCTGAGCCTGGGGCTGTGACGGGCTTCTGAGTGATGTGGCCACCATGGAGTCTGCGCAGAAGTTATGGTCCCAGGCCCTGTCTCCAGCCCTGGCCCCTGAGCCATGAGTCACCTCTGATTGCCTAGAGTCCCGGAGTGACGGCAAGCTCCCGGCTACCAGGTGGGATTTCAACTGCTGCTGGATCCTCTTGCCTGTCTGGGGAAGCGTCTTGAGGTTCTTCCAGAATTTCTGGCAGGCCTCCTCAAGGGGGGCTTTTGGAGGGCAGGAGGAAGTGGCCTCCTCCAAGGGCTCTCTGTCCATCTCTGCCGACGGCCTCCCTTCCTTTGGGCAATGAAGCAGGATTGGCTTTGTGGAGGCCTGAGATCAAGAGCGGGGGGAGACCTGTGACCAGCCCACCCACCAGAGCTCTGAATCTGTTTCAGAAATTGGGATCTGGGTCCCACTCAGATGCTCTGAGAAACGTCTCCATGTGAACCCCCAAAACTAATCTTGTAAACAGCTTCACTAGCTCCCCCAGGGGTCAGCAAACCCTTTTTGTAAAGGGCCAGGGAGCGAATATTTTCCACTTTGCAGGCCATGCAGTCTCTGTCTCATTACTCAGCTCTGCTGTTGCCAAGAGAGTGGGCCTGAGTTCCAACAAAACTTGATGGACATGGATATCTGAGTTTCATTTGATTTTCACAGTCCATGAAATATTATTTTACTTTTGATTTTTTTTCAACCAATCAAAAACGTAAATGCCATGCTTAGCTCTCAGGCAATACAGAAACAGGCAGTAGGCTGGATGTGGCCCTCAGGCTGTAGTTTGCTGACCCCTGATCTACCGGGTTGTTCAGGCCAAAATCTTGGATTTCAGATGTGGCAGATGCTGTTGATGGCCCACCCGTATCCCCTTTGCCCTGAGCACTTCAGTGCCCCCAGCTCCACTTCCAAATGGCAGCACCAGGGACTCTGCCTGGGGACATTCTCTGGCCACTAGCACTCACTATGGCCACACGACAGACCAGAAGTTCCAGAGAATCAAAATCTCCCAGGAACAGGGCTTGACCAATGCCCGATGGAAGTTGGAGGAAAAATACCCTTGCCGCCTAAAGGGCGATGGCTGAAGGGGCAGGCAGACAGGAAACATGAAAACCCGTAAATAAACGAGGCTTTTCAAATCGCGAGGAGTCTTCTGTTGCGAATAAATGGGGTGATGTGATGGAGAAGGCAGGGGGGCTACTTTAGATCTGGAGATGAGAGGAAGACACTTGAAGAACTGACAGAAGCAGCCAGGCATGGGAAATCTGGGGGCAGAGCACACAGCAGTGCAAAGGCCCTGAGGTTAGCTTAATGTGTCTGAAAACAAAAAGGGATGGCAGAGGGGCTGAAGCTGAGCTGGTGATAGACAGAAGGAGGAGCTGAGGTCACAGTTAAGATTTTAATCTTGGTTCCTTGGGAACTCACTGGAAGGTCTTAAGCTTGGAGCTACAGGACCTAATCTTCATTCTAGAAAGTGTCTTCTGCCGGTCGTTGGCCACCCTTGCTCCTACCCCTCCCCCAGGTTGGAGGTGAGAGCTTTCTGTCACATACCTTCTTCGATGGAGCTATGGGATGGGAGGAAGGATTCCCATGTTCACTGGGGCCATGGGCTGCGCTGGCAGCTTCCTCAGACAGTGCATAGGAGTAAAAGAAGAGATCCTCGTAATCCACGTTCTCTGGATCCTTCTGTGGGGCAGAGGGGACCTGCAGCTCAGCCCCAAGGAGGGGACAAAGGTGGGGCCGGGTTTCCCATACTTTAATAATTAGGGCTCAGGGGCTGCACTACCCACAAACCCAGTAAGGAAGCATGCTCAACAGGGCCTAGGCCCCACCCACAGCAACTTATGTGGGTCTAGGTCACGCCCACAAACCTGTATAAGGAGGTATTTCTTTCCCACAGCAATATCTTAGGGCCTAGGCCCCACACACTGATCCTTATTAGGAAACATGCCCCACCCACAGCAGCTTATGTGGGCCTACGCCATGCCCATCAACCCTTATAAGGAAATATGTCCCTCCCACAGCAGCTTCTGAGAACTAGACCCCACCCACTGAGGCTTATAAGGAAATATGCTATTCATATAGATGAGCCAAGGTTCTACCTGGCACATGAACCCTTGTAAAAAATCAGCCTGGGCCAGGGGGAGCAAAGACCAGGAGGAGTGGAGTCGGCAGGTAGGGATGGGGACCACGAGAGTGACAGAATCACAAGAGGCTGAAAGGGTCAGGTGGGAGCACAATGAGTCTGGGCAGCTTGACCCCTGGGAGGGCAGCTACGTCCTGCCTGGGTCCCAACACTCGCCTGCCCACAGGGCTGCTTCAGCAACTCCTCATGCGGCCGCATTGGCTGCTGCTGGTGGAAGGTGACCAGGGCGTCCAGAGAGGCATGGGCCCTCTTCTCCCCGGAGATCATGAAGCTCCCATCATCCAAGAGCTTCACCATGAAGTGGCGGCAGCAGCTTTGGGCTCTGTGGAGACACCGCCAGGACTGGGATATCCCACTCCCCTCATTCCAGCCCCACACCACCCCCCAGCCCTTGCTCCAGCAGCATTGTGGCTGCCATCTGCATCAGCCAAGTGACACTCGGTAGATCACACTGTGCCTCAGTTTCCCCACCTACGACAGGAGTTCTTATGAAGATGAAACAAACTACTGTAGGAAAAACTTAGCTCGGTCCCTGGCTAGGGGTAAGTGATCAATAGAAACGATAATGAAAATTTGAATCAGGCCCCAGCCTAAGGCTGTGTGCCTGGCATTCTGCTCCGTTAATGAATGGATGCACTTATTAATGGTCCGCTACATGCTTACTATATCCTCACATCAAGACTGAATTAATTTTAGCATTCCTGTGTTAGAGGTGAGGACTTTGAGGGAAGCACAGAAAGGTTGAGTAACTTGTTCAAGGTCACACGGTATGTCAGACTGTGGGACTCAGGGCCTAAGCTTTTCCCGCTGTAGGAAACTCTGGAGCTATTGGATTGCTTCTTATTTCTCTGATCTGGAATCCTTTTGAGAAGTAGTTTGTGCTGCTGAAGCCTGTCACTGGGATGCCAGATCAGGCTTCGAGGACTCAAGGAGCTGGACTGCCGTGAGTTTCCCTAATATGTCCTCCTGGGTGGAGTCAGAGAGTTGCCAAGTAGATGGTGGATGGGAGAGGGGTGGCGAGGGGAAGGGCAGTAGCCCATGTTCTCAGACACACTGTCTCAATTACCACCAGGCCCAAGTCGGCTGGTTACAGCCAGACCTGCAGCCGCCCACTCTTTAACCAAATCTGGCTGGATCTGGTTGTTCTCTGAGAAAGTGTGGTATGAAGAACCCTTGCCCGCTCCAAGAAAGCCCCAGAGCCCTCCTGCCCCTGCCCTGGCCCCTAGCCCAGGCCTTACTTGTAGGAGAGTGTGTAGCCCACATGGCTGTGACTGACCCTGATGAGAAAGGATCCCAGTGGCTGTGACTCCAACAAGTTCTCTGCGTCCCTGGAAGGGCACAAACAGGAGGGAGATGGCTGAGGTCTGGCTGCCCAGCGTCCTGCCCAGATCCCTTGTGTACCAGTCATCCCGGGTCTGAGCAAACAGCCTAAAACCATTTTTTTTCCCTTGGTTGTTTCAGACCTTGGGATATTCAGGGACAGGGATGTTCCTACAGAGATGGCAAAGGCCTCTGATGACCTTGACCTGAAGGCACATGATATTCAGGGACAGGGATGTTCCTACAGAGATGGCCTTGACCTGAAGGCACACCTCCTCCCATCTCCCACAGCTTCTTCCTGCCTTCCCAGTGCCTGGAATCCCCCCAGGAAGGCACCTTTCGGTCAATCCAGGTGTGACAGGTAACAAAGCAGAAGCTGTTCTCAGATGCATTTGAGATCAAAATCCAGCTCTGCTGTTCATTCGCTGTGTGACCCCTGGCAAGGGTCAGTCCCTTTCTGACTTCAGCTTCCTCAAGGGGACAGTAAACCCTCGCTTCCAGGGCCAATGTGAGGACAGATGAAACATGTGCACCATTGAGTATGGGAACCTCCACCTGGTACATGCTCACAAAAGTTCACTGTTATTACAGTTGACCCTTGAACAACAGGGGTTTGAACTGCAATGTCCACTTACATGTGAATTTTTTTCAATAATATATAAATCGGTCCTCTGCACAGTATTTTCAATCCGTGTTTGGAAATCCGTGGATGTGGAGGGCTGACTGTGTGCATTGTTCTACAACATTTTATAGAAGGGACTTCAGCATCTGTGGATTTGGGTATCTGTGAGGGGTCCTGGAACCGATTCCCCCACGGATACCAAGAAACGATTGTAGTTAAGTTTTGGGGGAGTCAAAAGTTATATAGGGATTTTCAATTGCATGGGGAGTCGGTGCCCCTAAACTCCGTGTTGTTCAAGGGTTGACGGTATTACTATCATTTAGTAGCATTATTACTATTTTTCTGGGGTTCACAGAGAGTAAGGTGGGGACAAGATGGGGAGACTTTCAATCCACGTTGTCCAGTACAGACGCCACTGGACCATGTGCGGCTACTGAGTGCTTAAAACGTGGCTGGTCTAAATTAAGATGTGCTTTAAGTGTACAATACACACAAGTTTTAAAGACATAGTACACAGCATAGGGAATATAGTCAACAATATTGTAATAACTTTTGGTGTCAGATGGGTACTAGACTCTTCAGCGTGATCACTTCATAAGTTATATAAATGTCTAATCACTATATTGTACACCTGAAACTAATATAATATTGTATGTCAACTATAATATAAATTTTTTTATTATAAAAATTAACTAATTAATTATTTAAAGACAGTACAAATAGAGGAAAATATATACTGTCTCATGAATGATTTTTTAGTAGATTACATGTTGACACGATAATATCTTGGGTATACTGAATTAAATAAAAGATACAATTACATTAATTCCTCTTGCTCCTTTCTGCTTTTTAAAATATAACTACTAAAACATTTCAAATTGCAGTGTGTGGCTCACATATTCTGTTGGCACGCCCCGTAACTCAGAAACCATGCCCAAGTCTGCCTTTCTGCAGAATATGGCTTTCATAACATTCTCTCAATTTCTTACAATAAATGTACTTTACTCCATTAATTAGAGCCAGGCCCTGGGGGTAACTAACTAGGTGAGTTTGTTCATCTCTTCAGAGCTCAAGCGGATGTAGAAAATGCATGTTAGTTGTGTACCTGATGGATTGAGAGGAGCTGTTTAGTCACTGTGTTAAGATGGATTCTGTGGCTGCATCCTGCTGTCATTAATTGGTGATGCCTGGCCTGGCTGAGGGTGGATGTGGGGACCTGCCAGATCGCTGGCAGTGCTAGTCTGGTGGCTACTTGTATATAGAAAGCTGAGGTCCAGAGAAGGAAAGTGAGTTGCCCAAGAGCACACAGCGAGTTCACAGTGGATGCGGGATTCAAGCTCGGACTCCAGAGCTCCTTTCACCCTCTTAACACACTTAGCCAAGTTGAGCCCAGAAATCCACAGTGAAAACCTGCCCAGGGTGGGGGCAGACAAAGAAAGATGGCAAAGGGCAGGGTGGAAGGTGTGGTGGGACCTCACTGTCTTGAGATGGCACCATGGAACCACGAAGGGACCCCTCCTTCGGCCAGTTGGTCCATCTGTGTCTGCACGAACCAGTCCAGTCGTGGGGGGAGTGGCGGGGGCAGCTTTCTGGCCTCTGTCATGGCTTCCTGAGGCGGAAGGTGTCACCTGGGGGCAGGAAAGAAGAGAGAGAGTCAAGCCTGGTTCACCTTCCATCTTTGTCCTGTTCTTGCAGCTCATAGTGCCTCTTCTTTTGAGAAGTCCTCCAGGCTGGACACAGCAACAGGTTTAAACTGGCTTGAGTTTCTTGAGCACCTACTATGTGCCAATGCTTTACACACATTCATTCATTGACTCCTCCCAAAAATCTTCCGAGGATTTTTCCTTTTCCTTTTATTCTTATTATTCTATTACTGCAAATGCTGGAAAGTTCCCTTTACAAACGCATGTATTTAAGTTTAAGAACTGAGTTTATTTAAATATTAAGTAACTACTAATGTCCCCAGAGGAGATGGTAAGTGAATGAGTGACCTGCAGTGGTCCTGCAGTGGGTGCCAGAAAGGGTTGCCATGGTTTCATTAAACACCACAGACATGTGACCCAAACTGTTGCTTCTGCCACCAATGTTGCCACTGATGGGACACCTGTAACATGTCAAGTGTGTGGTCAATTCACATTCATTCTCAACAATTTTAAGCTCAGGTACCCCTGGACTTCCTGATCTAATGACACTTAGCTGGAAAACAGAGAAAGAAACCAGCACCAATTTGCCAAACGATACGGAGTCAGTGCGAAGCCAGCAAAAGGGTTATGCCCTGCTGGGTTGACCCCTCACATTCACCCTTAATTGTGTCCCCAAACTGGCCCTGCCCCCTCCCACTGGCCCCATCTAATTTTTCAATAATGCAGAAGGCCTTTGTTACAGGTTGCTTCCACAGAGAGAAGGCCTGTGGACCAACCTAGTCAATATTGATTTTCTCCTGCCATAGACAAATACCAAGCACACCTCCCAGGGAGCAGCCCAAAAGAAATCTGAGGGCAAATGCAATTAAATCAATTAAGAAATGTTTAATAAAGCAGGGTGAGAAAGACTTTAAGAGCCTAGAATCAAAGCCAGATAACCCGGGTTCAAACCCCAGCCGTCACATTTAGCTGCTGTGTGACCTTAGGCAAGTCAACTTAACTTCTCTGTGCCTGAATTTCCAACTGCAATTTGGGGATAATGATAATATTTACCTGGCATAGTGTAAGCCCTGACAGTGTGTTTTTTCTTACTTTTTTTGTGATAAAGGTGTCTGACTTAAGCTTTGATTGCCATCCACTTCAAAGATGACGATCTTGAATAAACATTGCCAGCCCCCTGTGACTAAAGGGCCAGGCTGCTTTCCCCCACTGAGGCTCCTTTGTTTTAGAGATCTGGGTTGAATTCAATAATTGACCATTTGGGCTGCCTGCCCTTGTGTGTGCACTTGCTCTCTACCTGTGGCCTCACTGTCTGGTCCTAGGTGTGTTGTATAGTTTCCAGGTCCTGTAAGTAATAAATAAACCTTTTTTAAATGTTTCCTGATGGTTATTGCTGAAGTGTGTCTTGAAATCATAACAAGAATCATAACGCTGGTCCAGCCACACACTGGTTATTGATAGACTGAGACCAGTACAAAACACCTGTATGTATATAATAAATATTCATGAGTCTAGTAATGACCTAGCATGGGGTAATATTTACAGGCTTGTTCTTTTTTCTAGCTGGAAGACCTCCTACTTATCCTTCAAGACCCAGCTAAAATGTCCCCTCCTCCAGGTAGCTTTCCTGCCTCTTCCCCTGGATAAAGCACCGGCTTCCTTCTCTGTCCCCCACTTTCCCCACGGTACTTGCCGCTGGCCTAGCCTTGCCTCATGGAGCTGGCGTGTCTCTGTCTGGTTCGGTCTCCTCCATATTAGGGGCTCCCAAGGTCTGGGCCCACGGCTAGTTTCTTTGGGGGTTTTTTGGGTCCCCAGTATCACCTGGAGCTGGGCTGGCACAGAGGAGGGTACAGGGTGTGTGTTGATGAATAGACAGTTTAGTGATGAATAAAGCCATACTAAGTTTCAAACTCCTGACACTGGCATTAGGGCCTCCCCGACCTCTTCATCTCCCTTGCTCCAGCCCTAACAGCATCCTTGCTCTACCCAAAACTATCAAGTTCTCTCTCCCCTCCACGCCTTTGCCCATGCTGTTCCTTGCCAGG